AATGAAAAAAAATTATTCCTTAACAAATAACACCTGCAACCAATCACTTAATAAACAAATACAAAATACTACACCTAGTAAAAGAAAACAAAAACAAGGTACACATTCACAGTCAAGTGAGAAGTCAATTAAGAATTCTACTATTCAAAGTGAAATAACCATAACAAAATATCCCGTTAAGAAACAAGAAAGCAAATTAGAGAAGGAAAAGGATAGTATAAAGAAGAGAAAATTATGTATTCTAAATGGCTGCAACTACAACGGCACACTAAGTATTATAGAGCGCACATTTGAAGAAAAAATTTAACTACTGTCAATTTATGAAACGTAACAGCAGTTTGAAAGAACTCATGTCAGACATCAAGAACAAGATCTATAATTTTGATGAAGAAGATTATTGTATAATTATGATTGGTGAAAGTGACTTTAAAAAGAATGTGGATCCAATTGAATTAGTCAGATTAATTAGAGAAACCCTAATAGAAATAAGTAACACAAATATAATTTTATGCACCCCCACATATGTACTAGGAGCCCCTATATATAATTACCGAGTAGAAATATTTAATAATTTACTTTATATGGACATTGAAAATTATAAATATGCATATTTCTTTGATACTAACTACAACTTAACTTATGAAATGTTGTCGAATAAAACAGGTAAAATTAACAGATTAGGTATAAAATGTATATTTGTAAGTATCTTTAAGCGTATTCTTGTTGACTTAGAAACTGAATTCAATTCGCCAACATTAATAACCACTGACAGTGTCAAACAAAACAGTTTTTTTCGGTCCATCTAGTAAGACATCTCTTGATAACATACAACAATTTATATTATTTCACCAGAATATAGCAGGCATATTAAACAAAATAGAGCATTTTGAAATAGTAATGACCGATTTGAGGAAGCATATTGGAGATATAGACTTTATTTGCTTTAGCGAAACCTTTTTAAAATCTGGTCATGAAGGTAACCTACAATTAGAAAATTACAGTTTAGCTGCTAATTTCTCAAGACAGGATAAAAAACGGGGTGGGACATGTATACTAGTAAAAAAAGGTATATATTTTACTCCGTTGTCGGTAATTAATGATTTTGCGACAACATATTGTTTTGAATGTTGCGGTATAGAAGTGCCGAGTTATAATCTTTATGTAATTTGTATTTATAGAACACCAGATTCCGACACATCTATTTTTTTTTAAAAATCTAGAACTTGTATTATTCAAATTAACTCTTAATAGTAAAAAACATATCGTTATATGTGGAGATTGGAACATAGACGTTCTCAAAGAGAATACGCAGAAAAAGGAATTAATATCAGTCCTCAAGAACTTTAATTTGCTAACTCACATAAACTTACCTACTAGAAGAAAATCTAGTATTGACCAAATAGCCAGTAATATTTCAACCAATAATGTGAATACTAATATACATAACTTAGCTCTCTCGGACCATGATACAGGTCAATCATTAATTTTCTATCTTCCAAAAAATAACAATAATGCTAAATCAATAAAATTTTGGTATGAGACTGTGAGAGATTTCAATGAAAATAACATTAATAAATTTCTAGAATGCATAACAGCTTTAAGTTTTGATGAAGTATACAGAGAAACATGCTGCAACAAGTCGTTTAACGTTTTTCATGACCTTTATACTCTTTTTTTCAAATTGTGTTTTCCCGTAATACGCGTTAAGAAAGGCAATAAACCTGTAAAAATAAATGGATAAGTAAGGGATTAAAATTATCGTGCATTAAAAAAAGAACATTATATTATAAATATATACATGATGCTATAAGCAAAAACTTTCACAAGAAAAATTATCTTATATATTCTAAAATATTAAAGAAATGTATATCAAAATCTCAACGAATAAATAATGATAAATATATTTTTAACTCTAAAAATAAATGTAAAGCGACATGGTCTATTATAAAACATAATTTTGATAGTTCTGTTGATAAAAGTAATATTGAAAACTTAGTTTACCAAGATAAAACTATTAATAACCCTAATGATATATGTAACCTTATTAACAACTATTTTATTGAACTTACTCATAAAGATAATTTTGATGAATTGAATAATGACTTGAATAACATTAATATTCCCGCTCAAAGAGATAGCTTGTTTTTAACCCCAGTAACCGAAAATGACTTTATGAAAATTATTAACACTTTGAATGATACACACGCTACCGGTTATGATGAACTCACAACAAGAATAATTAAATTAAGTGCTAAACATATAGCAATTTCTCTGAGTTACATAATTAATTTGTCGTTAGAACAAGGAATATTTCCTACAAGACTAAAAATATCCGTAATTAGACCTCTATTTAAAAAAGGTGATCGTACAAACATTGATAATTATAGGCCTATCACATTAATACCAATAATGGCAAAAATTTTTGAAAAAGTAATGCATGATAAAATTAGTAATTATATTAATAAGAATAAAATTCTTGTTGACAATCAATTTGGATTTAGAAAAAGTAGTTCCACTACACTAGCTTGCTTTAATTTAGTTAAGTTGGTCACAGAAGCACTTAATAACAAAATGTCGACAATATCAATATTTCTAGATATGAGCAAAGCATTTGACTTTGTCTCGCATAAACGATTACTTTTCAAACTTGAGAGGTATGGAATTAGAGGAAAGTCACATGATTGGTTTAAAAGCTATCTGTCGAATCGCCAGCAAAGAACGTTACTCTCAAAAATAGAAAATAATTCGAAAGTTACATATGAATCTGAACTTAAACTTAATAGTTGTGGTGTGCCGCAGGGCAGCATTCTAGGGCCATTTTTATTCATTATTTATATTAATGATCTCTGTAGTAACCTAAAACATAAATGCACATTGTTTGCTGACGACACTACACTAACCATAAGCTGTTTAAACAAAAATAATCTCGAATTTGAAACTAATAATGAGTTACAAAATGCAGTGCAATGGCTACAAGAGAATAATCTACATGTCAATTTAAATAAAACTAAATTAATACAGTACCAAACTCTAAATTCAAAGTGCCACCCTGTTAAAATACAATATAATAATACTGTTTTGCAACCAGTACAATCTACATTATTTTTAGGTATAATTATTGATGGTAAATTGAACTGGAAAGAACATGTAGATAAAGTGTGTAGTAAACTCGATAAATTTGTATTTGCTCTTCGCAAACTAAGACTCACAGCCAGTAAAGAAACAGTCCTCAGTGCATATCATGGGTACGTCTCTTCAGTACTTCGCTATGGATTAGTTATATGGGGTAATTCAGTGAATATAGGCAGGGCGTTTAAAGCACAAAAAAAATGTATTAGATCCATGTGTGGCGCTAATTATTTAGATCATTGTAAGCCATTATTTCAAAAATTAAAGATACTTCCACTGCCCTGTCTCTATATTTTTGAAATATGTTTGTTCGTTAAGAGATATTCCTATCTATTTCCAATAAATGAACGTGTTTCCAAGAGGATCCAAGACAGAAACCCAAACCAATTGGTGGCACCATCCCAAAGACTTTATTTGTATAGTCGTAATGCCCACTGCATGGCAATAACAATCTTTAATAAGCTGCCACCACAGATTAGACAGTTGCCTATAAATAAATTTAAACGTGCAATATTTTCTTGGCTCTTGGATATGTGTTTTTATTCTGTTAACGATTTCATAGATTATAAATTTATAAATTATACATAAATGAATGCTCCCAATATTGTATTAATAATAATAATAATATATATCTACAATTGATAATTCCTATATAATGTTATAAATGTATAAATTTGTCTAAATAAGAACTATAAAGTGTTAAATATTATTCTAATTGTAATATTTCTACACCGGATACGGTAGTATATGTGAATCATTCTATAATTTCAACATCTGTAATTACCATATACTAAGAAATAAACGATATTCTATTCTATTCTATTCTATTGTATATCTTGGAATCGCTGTTGCATCAAAAATCAACACTTCTGAAATAAAAGCAGGTAAACAACAGCGCACAGAGTTCCTGCATAGGTGTAAAGATTTTTCTGGTGGAAGCTGCCTTACGAATAAAGAAAAGATGGGATTTCGACAATACACCACTGATCAAAATATCCTTGTTGGGTCCGAAGAAAATCAAAATAAATGTTTTGCAAATTCTGGATGATCAATGGTGCAAACTACCCTTTGCAAAAATACCAGAAGAAATAAAAACTGAAAAGAAAGTAGATATATTTTGGGCTAAACTTAGTAAATGGAGATCTGACAGAAAACAAGCCTTTCAATGACATTGCCCAATTCACATTGGAATGTCTCGTGCTTCCACATGCAAACGCAGATTATGAAGATTAGTAAGATCAACCTTACTAAGTCAAGGACACGGAACAGACCTAGTAACAGGAACTGTAGATGCAATCTTACTGTCGTGCGATGCAATAAAACGCAACAAAAATGGCAATTGTACCGATATTTAACCGACAAAAGAAATGTTACGAAGAGCCAATGATAAAAATAATGACGGAATGCAGTTTAATATACAAGTTGCAGAAATCGATAAAAGTATACCATAGTTCTAAGTTAGGTGATAATTTAAAGTTGTATAATTGATGAATAAATTGTACCTATACTTTCTTATTTTTTTATTTATTAATCTTTTCAAGTGTTATAATTAAAAATATTATCATGTTATATTTTATTTCTAAGATATACGATCTTTTTTTAATAAATACTATATTTTTGAACGAAACGTACTATATTTTTTTATCTGTGCGATTCCAACACTGCTAATAAGAGTACTAAGCCTATTTCTGAAAACTTGGGCTTGGGTTGAATAAGAGAATTCAATTTCAATTACATTGAAGTAATAAGAAACAGGAATGGCCTTTAGTGAAATTTGTAGAATTTGTTTAAGCGTAAATGTACGCATGTATGTACTAAAGAAGACTGGACTCCAACATTTGTTTAAAGCATTGACGAACAGATTTGTGAGCATGGAGGTTTGTAAGTTTGATTTTACTTCAGTTTGTTTTTTTATTGCAAATTGTAGTTGCGGTAAATTGTTGTTATCGCTGGAAAAATACATTGTAACTTGCCTGATTTTTAATGCGATAGATCGGGGCTGGGCTAAGGTGCAGCGTTAAATAAAGAGTCAAATACAACCAGAATTTGAAAAACAATAATTAGCTTGGAATCCTGGGCCGATCATAATCAGTACTGTCATTGAAGTAATATCGTAACGGAACCCATTATGGACAGTTTAAAACCAATTTTTTACGTTTTCTACTATCTTTTACAGATAAACGTTCATGTGAATGCAATTGGGGTTGCAAGCGCTTAAAGAACTTATTGGTAATAAGTTCATTTATTGAAAACTACACTATTCTTACAACTTTTAGAAATACCCTTAAAAAAACAAAACCATTCAAAAAAACCAGTGATGGACAGGGTTAGTTCCAATTTTGGACATCCAATGTTGGAACAACCTCCAGTCATGAACATCTAGTGATGGACACTGAACATTTATGCAAGGAAGAAAATAAAACAAGTAATTTACATTAATCAGTCTTCCATACTTTTTATTGAGCACAAAACTGTTAGTTCTTGTATTTAGAAATATAAAAGCAAGTAAAATAATAAACTCTAAAAGAAAAAATACCCGGTAAATATTTTTCCATTTCTTTAATTTTATAGAAGCAATATAGATAAGAAATATAGAGAAGAAATATAGCTTATTTAAGAGCAAAGGGTCATTAAATTTCTCTATAACATCTTGTGCCTTGTACTATATTTTATCTGGCTGACCTGGCCATCTGAAAGAGTGTCCTACACATAATACCGTTATACTTATTTCGTATAAATTTCGTTCTGTTTTTTTCTATTCTACCCGGAAAATATTCTCCCTCATATTTTACCCTAACGTAGGAGCCATTGGTAACACCTATAGTTTTCTTCATACACTAAGTTTTTTTGGTAGAATCTATTTTACTCAAAGGTTCATTTTCAGAGTCTGATTTGCCACTTTGAGCATATTCGGAGTCACCGCTTTCATCATACTCAACTTCCATGTCATCGTTGTCATCATCGGTAAACAAATCTTGCTGCCTTATATTTTTCGTTAGTTTTTGTTGCTGTTTCTTTTCCAGAATCATCTTTTCCTTTAATATTTTTCTGTCTTTTCTTTGTTTTATTTGTTTTCCTTTTTCTTCTTTCTTTTTTTCGTTTCATTTTAGTTTTTTTCTCATGTAATATCTCCATGTTTCACTATTTATAGCTGACCGTACATGTTACTTGGTTGGTAGCTTCTTAGTTTCATGTTTGGGCCAAAATAAGACACGTTTAAAAGGTGACGGGACTACCCAGTTTTTTGGTAATGTTGTAGAGGTTGAATGATACGACACTGGTGAATTCGTTATAACAGATTTATGTGGTGTAGCATATACTGTTTAAAAAGATTGCTCATTGTTTCCTTGTCCAGTTTGTTGATCAATTTTTTTGTCCTGTCCTTGTGCATTCGGTGTATGCGTATTCTGTTCTGTTGTGATCTGTTCTTCTATGTTCTTTCTTTGTACATAAAAATTTGGTGCTTGCTTTTTGCTCTTGCATTCTGTTTTTCAGTGTTCACTTTTGTAATCTACCCAATGTCATTTAGTCCTTGTGTATTATTTTCTGTTGGGATCTGTACTTCCGCACTCTGTTCCTCTTTATGCTCTCTTTGTGCATTCAGTTCTAGTGTATTCTGTTCTGGCGTGGTCTGTCCTTATGTGTTTAGTCTTTTTATGGTCTGTACTTATGTACTCTCTCCTTGCATGTACTGTTCTAGCATTTTTACTCTTAGTCCCAGTTATGGACAAGCAGTAATGGACATGGTTGTACATTACTGGATTACGCTATAATATCTTAAATATTTCAAGGATAAAACGTAACATATTTTTGTCAGAGTTCACGGAATACAAAATTGGCGAATTTGTTCAAAAATCCAGTAATGAACAAAATGTACATGACTGGGTAGTAACATATTAGAGTATCCAGTGTTAAACATAGCCTTTAATTATTTATTGTTCTTGCCGTTTTAAAATATGCAAGGTTATATTACAATTCTTGATCTACTCCTAAAACACGAAATAAACGGACATTTAATAAAATATGCATAACTATTTCAGAAAAAACGTAATTGTTGAACTCACCAGCATCACGATGCTTACAATAATTTAGGATTTATTCAACTAAACATCACAACCACGTTTTTGAACTCTTCCTGTGAACGAACAAAATGTCTCACATACTGTGAAACGAAAAACATAGCTTCGGTTGGGTCTATCAATCGTGGATAATATTGCCAGTTATAGGAAATATTCATAGTTTGGCTATTTTTGATAGATAAAGAATGAAATGTCCATCACGGGTGCACTGTCCATTATGGGTTCCGTTACCTTACTACGTACTAAAAGTGGCGTCGAGATGTAGTGTTTGCAACGCGCGTTGGGGCCAGCGGGCTCAAACTTACCGAGTCTGTTGCCTCCTTCTAAGCGACTCGCACTGTTGCATAGATTTGTTCGCGGTGTCTGTTCTAGTACATGTTACTTCAATGAGTACTATTGTGAATTTCTTCCAAAGAATTAACATCCACCTCAGTTTGGTGTTTCATCCACTTATAACAGTTCTATCAGACTTTTAAACCGGGAGATTAAGAATGTACAGAAATTCTCTCATATTTCTCATATTCCTATCAGACAGAAATCAGAAGAGGGAATAATCTGCACATTAAAATTAATAAATATAGGAAATCTTCACATGTGCTTGCTTACACACACACACACACACACACACACATGCAATATAATCCTGTCCTGCACTGATGTATAGTCTCTGTTGTGACCAAATGCTGTCTGTAGGAGATTATTATCATTGTTGGGGGTGTTACCATGTGCTCACAGAATACCAACATAAAATAGCAGCTTAATGCTGTTCCAATGGTGAGTGCAGAGAATGGGAGACCCTATATACTAGTAGGTAGTGAGGCGTTCTGTCTTGATCCTGAGGGGTGACGATTAATTGGGGATAAATGTAGATGTCTATGGGCCACAGTATTCATTTACTTGTGTGTTGAAATATTGGAATTACATATATTTAAAATGCAAATACAAACTGCAAAATACCTATTTTTATATTGCATTTGATATCCCTTTTTCTTTAAATCTATTTTGTATTTTATTTGAAACACTTTGTATTAATATTTAGAACATTGTAAAATGCAACATGGTTTTGTAAAAATTTTAATATTTCATTGAAAATTACTTTATTTATATAAGCCAGCCATTCTAAACGTTGTGGACAACAATAATAATGGCTACATTGCAAGTCCAACAAACTCTTGGAACTGAAGCTTGGCTTGGAACTGTTTCTGTGTATTTGTCAATGTCAAACAAAACAACCAATGATAAAATTAAGTGATCCTTGATATAAAAAAGTCATACTCATTACACATACATATTCAAAAGCTCTTTCTTAAATATAATAATTGCTTACCAAGTACTGCACTTGTTGAACAACTGTTTTTGTTTGGTGTAATGATTATGAGAGGCCACATAAATGGAATATGAAAGATCAACTCTTTGAACAAATACTAGTGTCAAAATCAATGAAATATGGTATTTTATTTAAAAAATCTATTTTGAATACATATTTTGCATTTTATATTTTTAAATACTTTAATTGAAAAATAAGCTAAGCATTTGCATTTTGAATATGTTTAATGAACTATTTTGCATTGCTCTGGTTTCAAACTTTTAGTTTTTTTATTTTATTTTATCCCATCAGTTCTAAAATTGGTTAATGATTTGTGATAATATCACTTTTGATAGCAACTAGTTCCATACTTCAACCACTTTATGGTAATTTTGTGACCTGGCTTTAGTCAATTTGAAGTGATGCTTCTAAGATGTGTGTTAATTGGGTACTGGAATAATAGTTTGTCAAATATTTCTAGATTATAGTGTCCATGTATTATGTTTTCATCAAGTATCCTCATTTTCTGTGATCTTTCAGAGTTGTACGTTTTCAGACTTTCCTCATATGGTATGTTTTCAATGCTCTAGGAACTTTTGAATATCTGTATTGAACCTCTCCAGCAACACTCAGTATTGTGTTATTTGGAATGCATATTCCAAAATAGGTTGAATATATGTTTTATATATTTTAAGAATCATTTTTGGTGTTATTATTATTTACCACAGTTGCCACCCTAGGCTAGGCGGGTTGGCAACTGCAGTTTTTTTAATTATTCTGACCTGTTATGTGCAAAATGCTGCTACCAATATACTTATGAAATTAATTAATCTAATTGTTAGATGTCCAAATTTATGTGGAACTTAACTTATACTGCAGTTGATTTTTTATAGTTTGTGTCTCTGCCTGAAGGACATTGAGAGCCAGTATATAGCAGTAGGCTATGAAGTATTACATCTTAGTCCTCAGAGGTAACATCGCATCTGTAGCCTTTGTTTGAAGTTTGTTTTAGGTGCTTATGTGCTGCGGCAGCCACTTACCATCAGGTGGATTGTAGGTTTATTTGTCACTTCAATCTTATAACAAAATGATGTTGAAGAAGAGAGTTGTGGTGGCAAATATATTTTATTACAAAACTGTACATTTAAGTAGTTTCCTATATTATATTTATGATGAATTTTCATATTTTCAGATGGATGAGAATGAGGAGCCTGTAATTGTCTGTTTCATTTGTCATGCAAGACTCATTCGTTGCAGGAGATTGCAACAACAGGCTATTGAGTCAAATGCAGTTCTGGAGCAGTTGCTTGCAGGAGGGTCCATGGTATTATCTATTCCATCCATTAGTACCTATAAAAGTCTGTCAGAAATTGCTTCATATCAGCAATTTTGCCAAAAATCTCTTATTTAAAAAGAGTTTGGTTTCAGTCAATACCAAAACCTCATGCGGCTAGAGATGAGATTCAATTCACACAAATTAATCATATAGATATCTGGCCAGTTGAGTGTGATATAGAAAATGATTGTAATGACGACATTCTTAGCCTTGAATCTGTTAACTTTGAGGAAGAGAAAATCGAAAAAGAGAATTTCAAATTTGATGCAAACTGGAGTCATGAAACAGGTAAGATAAACACGTTTTGTAATATTATTAAATTAGGGTACAATTTACATAATAGCAAGTGGTTACTGTAGCCCATGTACACAAAATAAAGAGGGCTTGGTGTGCAAAGTACTGATTTGCTTTTGCCTAAATTCAAAGTGCAATTGAAAAGTGCTCATGGAGAAAGAAAATAACAAATTAAATAATTATTTAAAAGATAACCATACATGGACATCATAATGAGCTTTGTTAGACATTTTCTTTCACTTATGTATAAATATATTTATAAATATTTTGATGTTGTATAAATGCAGCCAGTATGATTGTACACTAAGATGTATTCACTTCATAGGAGTTAATGATATACTACAACTGGTAAGCTACCACCTATCTTTGCCAATTTCTAAACCCAGATGGACTCCTCCATCCTCCTGTTACCTATTTCTGTTGTCAAATTGCAGTGCGTGCACTGCTGTGTAGAGATAGAGAGTATAGAGTCGGTATAATCACAGGCTGTGGGGAATTGCATCTCAGTAGTCAGAGGTAGGCTTGTGAAAAAAAAATCGATTATTTATTTAATCGAAGTTTTCGATTTTTCGCAGCAGAGAATTAATGCTTGAAACATTCCCAATTTATACTTTATTGCAATCATTTTGTTCAAATTTTATGAAAAGCAATAAATATTAGTCTCCCATACAGTATTGTTGAAGGCGAAGGTTTTCAAAACTGATTAAGTTACTTGCACCCTTGTACAATATACCATGTCGGAAAACAGTGACGGACATAATAGACAGAAAATATGAAGAGAAAAAGGCTACAAAAATTGGATTCAGTAAACAATATATGTTTCTGAATAGATGAGTGGGAAGACTTGCAGATGAGTAGCTTTTTTGGTGTAACTATCCACTTTGTTGAACATTTTAAAGTACATAATTACATTCAGCATTGCATGCGGATCTCTTACTGAGAACCACACATCGGATTATTTAGCTAGTATTTAGTAAGAAAAGTTTGCAATGAATGGGAAATAAATGAGGATAGAATTGTTAGTGTCACTACAGATAATAGTGCCAATATCGTTAAAACTATAGAAATTGCATATGGAAGAGGAAAACATACAAGATGCATAGGCATAGCCCATAAGTTGAACCTGGTCATGGAAAATTCTATTTCTGCAATAGATTTAAAAAGCTTTCTAGAAAAAGTTCCTAGAATGGTGACTTGGTTTCATAAAAATGGTGTAGGTGCTGAAGAGTTGAGGAAAGCTCAGAAAGATTAAAATATTGCGGAAGGAGAAATAAAGCGTTTGTTAGGTGATATATCCACTCGCTGGAATTCTTAACTACACATGATTGAAAGATTTGTCACATGATGAGTATTACTATCGGATCCATTTTAGTAAACCACCCTAATGCATGACGGATGCATCAAGCAAACGAAATAATAATATTGAAAGAGTTAATAAAAATACTAAAGCCCTTTGAAAAAGTTAGCCATGTAATGAGTAGTGAGAAATACGTCAATGGAAGTATGGTTATACCGATGATAAAATGTCTGCAAGAATATTTAAAAACAGTAAATCCAGTTCATGGATTGGCTATTGATTTGAAAAATTCATTGTTGAATGAAATAAGAAAATGCTTCGAAAATATACATAAAGTTCTCCTTTTTAGGGTTCCGTAGTCAACTAGGAACCCTTATAGTTTCGCCATGTCTGTCTGTCCGTCTGTCCGTCCTCGCTTAATCTCTGTGACCGTTAGCACTAGAAAGCTGAAAGCTGGTACCAATATGTGTATCAATCACGCCGACAAAGTGGTAAAATAAAAATTGGAAAAAAATGTTTTATTAGGGTAGCCCCCCTATATGTAATGTGGGAAGTGATTTTTGGGATCGATGATGATTGTAAAATCTGGCTAGCTCACCAAAAGTTAAAAGCTGCTTCACATATCAGATCCGAATACGCCGTGATGTTGGATTTATATATCGCAGCGCCATTGGAACATTTAACAAAGGATCTTTATAGCTATAGTGGCCTAATGGCAGGGTGCGGACCGCGAACTCAAAAAGGTCGTGGGTTCGAATCAACCATTCGACTACTGGCGTGTACCATTCGTAACACAAGCTATTTAAGCTTACCACGATTGGTTAAGGGGAATATTAGTAATGTTTATAGCATTGTTAATATTCTTTTATTAAAAAAAAATAAAAAGTACCCCCTACATGTGTGGAAATTGTATGCAGGAGTGTATCCAAAACTCAGAATTGGCCTGCAAGCACCTGGTCCATCTTTATCAGCTCCCGCAGAAAGGCATTTCAAGCAGAATATATTGTTAAAAAAAGTAGGAGTCATATTTTAGGGAAAAGATTATCACAGTTGTTATTTTACATTCTCTGCCAAGCCATCTGTGCTGATTTTCTTTTAATTTCTACTTTTTCCAAATCAGTTTTTAACAATAAAAAGAAAGTGATTTGTTTCATTCACTCAATTTACAAATAATCGTTTTTTTTACAAAATAGGTTATTTTTCTTTAAAAAATCGATTAAATGAAAATCGATTTAAAGAGACAGACGAAAAAATCGATGCTGTAAAATCGATTTTTGATGCCTTTCCTCACATCCCTAGTCAGCGGTAACGGCGCATTGTAGCCTTTTATGTTTGAAGTTAACAAGTAAGACTACATTACCCACTTACCTTCAGGTTGATCAGCTACATACCATAAGGTAGACTGTTAATTTGTTTATGACTTCGTACTAAAAAATATATAGAGAAAAGGTGCTCAAGGTATCCTTGTTTTTTTTTTTTATATAGAGGGGGCAAACGAGCATGTGGCTCACCTGATGTTATTAAGTGACTGACGTCGCCCATGATCAACCGCAACACAAGGGGAATTGCAGGTGCGTTGCCGGCCCTTTAGAAAGGGGTAAGCTCTTTTCTTGAAGGTCCCCAGGTCGTATCGGTCCGGAAAAATCGCCGTTGGTAAACTATTCCACAGAGAGGTTGTACGCGGAAGAAAACTTTTGAAACGTACAGTGGTGGACCGCCAAGCATCCAAATGGTGTGGATGGTATCGGGACGTTTGCCGCGTAGTACGTTCACGAAATTTGGCGGATGGGATTAATCCGAACAATGCCTCAGAGCACTCTCCATGGTATATGCGAAAGAAAGTGCATAGGGATGCAACATCTCTTCGCAGTGCCTGTGAATCGAGCCGATCGGAAAGCACTCGGTTGTCGACGATTCTAGCCGCTCTGCGCTGGATGCGGTCAAGTGGAAGGAGCTGGTACTGGGGAGCCCCAGCCCAGAGATGGGAACAGTATTCCATGTGCGGCCGAACCAGTGCCTTGTAAAGTTGCAGGCGGTGTGCTGGAATGAAATACTGTCATAAGCTTTTTAGAGGCCAATTTGGCCTTCTCTTCCAAGTGACCACGAACTGCACGTCACTCGATATGTCGACGCCAAGGATTTCGATACTGGCTAAGGCAACAAGGGGAGTGCCTTGAAGCTGAGGAGATACGACAATGGGGTTCTTGTTAGCGGTTAACGCGCAAACTTGTGTCTTCTGGGGATTAAACTGGACTAGATTTAGTCTCCCCCAATCCGAGACTCTGTTCAGCAAAGACTCGACTTCAGACACAAGTTTGTCCCGGCACTCGGAGACGTTTTCCCGAGAAATATTGGCTCGGCCGGTGTAAAGAGTATCACCAGTGCTGACATCTGCATAGCAATGAATGTTACGGGCTTGCAACATATTGATATGCAGAAGAAACAGCGTTGACGATAGCACGCAGCCATGTGGAACACCAGTATTAATCGGCTTGCAATCGAAGCTTGCACCGTCTACAACGACCTTGATGCTACGATCTGCAAGAAAGCTGGTGATCCAATCGCACAATTTCTCGGGAAGGTCATAGAAATGGAGCTTCGAAAGAAGCGCTTTGTGCCAAACCCGATCGAAGGCCTTCGCTGTGTCCAAACTAACGGCCAATGCATCCCCCTTGGACTCTCCTGCCTCCGCCCATCTGTGGGTTAGGTAGACCAGAAGATCACCAGCTGACCGACCACGGCGAAAACCTTATTGGCGGTCACTAATCAGCTGGTGATCCTCAAGGTACCTCATGAGCTGGCAGTTTACAATGGACTCCATTGTTTTGGAGAACAAGGAGGTGATGGCGATAGGCCGGTAGTTGGACGGGTCTGAGCGGTCGCCTTTTTTTAGGGATCGGGTGGACAAAAGCAGTCTTCCATGATTATGGGACTACGCCTAGGGAGTAGGAGTACCGGAAAAGACGCGTTAAAACCGGTGCCAACTCTGGAGCACACGTCCTCAGCACAATTGGGGAATTCCGTCAGGCCCACTCGACGACTTTTGGATGTCCAGGGAGAGGAGTGCTTTGCGAACCGAGTGCTGTGTGAACAGAGCTGTGTGCACTTTCGGCGTGGAGCACTCACACCATGGGATGGTCGGCGGCGTACTCCCCACGTCGTCGAGAGTCGAGTTGGACGCAAAGAAAGAGCCTAGAAGATCGGCTTTCTCCTTTGCGGTATGGGCCAGTGAGTCGTCCTCCCTGTGCAGAGATGGAAGAGATGGCTGACAGAAATTCCCCTGGACAGCCTTGGCGAGAGACCAGAATGCACGGGTTCCAGAAGGAAGGCGAACTAGTTTCTCGCCAATTCTGCCTATGTGCTCTGACTTTGCCTTGGAAATGACTCTTTTGAAGGACCTAAAGGCGGAATTATACTTCTTTTTTTAGAGCGCTGGTGTTTACATCCCGGGACGCTGATGCATCAACCCAGGCTTGGTAGCACTCCTGCTTATTGCATGCTGTTTTACAGGAGTGACCAATCCATGGCTGAGATTTGCCTCCAATGAGCACCACAGAGGAAGGAAATAAAAAGTTACATACCCTGAAGTACCACATCAGTGACAGAATCCGCAACAACGTGGGGATCGTCCGGCTAGAAGCAAACCCGCCCCCAAGGGTAGGATGCAAAGAAAGACCGCATCCCATTCCAATCGACTGACTTATAGTGCCAAACACGGCGGCAGCCTGCAGAATGCAACTGCGATTTCAGCGTGAGTGGCACCACACTCTGGACAAGCCAATGGTCCGAGGAGCCTTAAGGGGCGTCGACGGAAATCTGATATCCGTCCGGGTGAGAGGTCAGCATAAGGTCCAACAGGGAAGGTGCATGATCCTCCACATCTGGAATCCGCGTAGGCGAAGTAACCAGTTGTGTCAGACCATATGCTAAGGCAAAACCATGAACAGATCTCCCCGCATGATCGGTGAAACGTGAACCAAGCCATTCGGCTTTGTGGGCGTTAAAGTCGCCGAGGATCACGATCTCTGCGGAGGGGATCTGCTGTAGCAACAATCTGAATTTTGACGTGGTCGAAGAGTCGGCCTGTTTCGGCATTACCGCTATGGGACCTATAGAGGCACCCGTAGACGCGTGGATGGTCGTCGCTGTCTACGCGTAGCCAAAGGATGGACAGGTCCGAACCTTCAAATCTGCCGAGGCGTCGAGAACAGGTGTCCTCTCTGACGTAAACGCAAACTCCAGCCCGAGGCACAAAGGAGTGTTCCAGTTTGTACCCCGGGTAGGAGAGATACGAGACATCAGCCGGAGAGGACACATGCGTCTCGGTCAGAAAGCCGGCCTCGCCGTCTCGAGATGGTAGTGGACGGCGTTTAGGTTAGAGTGAAGTTCCCTGATATTGCAGAAATTCACGGATAGCGTGGCAGGCGTCGTCTTGGTCTTGTTGCCCCCCCCCCCCAGAATACGCGGGCAGCCTCAGCACCCACGCTCAGAAGTGGAGAAACATGGTCGTGGATGCTTAGCGAGGGATTCTCCAGGGGTGCAGTGTCCTGGGGTAGTCTATCAGCAGCCCTTCACGTGTCCACTGCTGAACATAGACCTTCCCTAAGGAACACCACAAGGCACGGTCCTGAGCCACCTGCTTCCATCGACTTCCTGCATATCTTACCAGGTCGTCACTCCATCTAGTGGGGGACCACCCTACACTTCGTCTACTACAACTACTACTACAACAAGGCTGCCACAATTACGTCACGTTAGGAGAACCTTTCTTCTCCATCGGTTGTCAGTTCTTTGGACCATTGCCTCTTCAGGTTACACATAGCTTATAAAACATGCAGTATGGTAATGAAAGTGGGTGGCTCGGGCCCATAAGCTGTGTGATGGACTGTAATGATCTAGTCTAGTCCCTTGGAAAGAATATCAGTTTTTATTTTATATATTGAGTCAGAATCTGTTTCATTCTAGATACTGCTGGAAATCAAGAAGACTTGGAGATTGATGCTTTTGAAGATCGACATGAGGATTCGGAAAACGACTTGCCACTAATTTCATTAGGTACAAAGAGTAAAACAGATGATGTTGACATAGGTAAAAGAGTTTATTTTATAAAACCTGTATTAAACAATAAAAAGCAAATGCCACATTAGAAATTTCTCTTGCATCATGTATTTGGAGATGTGGTGTTATTAAGATAAAACAGGGAACCTGAAAGGGGATTCACTGATTTGTTGATGGGCTACTAATGTCTTAGAAATGTGTTGGTAAGTACATCTGCTAATCATGGGATCCTGGGTTAGGCCAAACTCAGTTATTGGGTTTTGCTGTCAAAAAAATTTCAGTAGCAGCCCGGAGCCAATAAATTGGCAATGTTTCAACCCCGCGCCTCGGAAAGCGCGTAAAGCCGTTGTTTCTACGTCTGATCTCTCTCCAACAAGTTGGCAGTGTTTCAACCCCGCGCCTCGGAAAGCACGTAAAACCGTGTTTCTACGTCTGATCTCTCTCCGGCAAGTTGGCAGTGTTTCAACCCCGTGCCTCGGAAAGCACGTAAAACCGTGTTTCTACGCCTGATCTCTCTCCGGCAAGTTGGCAGTGTTTCAACCCCGTGCCTCGGAAAGCACGTAAAACCGTGTTTCTACGTCCGATCTCTCTCCCCCAAGTTGGCAGTGTTTCAACCCCGTGCCTCGGAAAGCACGTAAAGCCGTTGTTTCTACGTCTGATCTCTCTCCGGCAAGTTGGCAGTGTTTCAACCTCGTGCCTCGGAAAGCACGTAAAGCCGTTGTTTCTACGTGTGATCTCTCTCCAGCAAGTTGGCAGTGTTTTTCAACCCTGTGCCTCGAAAAGCACGTAAAGCCGTTGTTTCTACGTCTGATTTCTCCCCAGCAAGTTGGCAGTGTTTCAACCCCGTGCCTTGGAAGCACGTAAAGCCGTTGTTTCTACGTTTGATCTCTCTCCATTCGTGTTGGATTACCATCCCATCGGTTTTAGAGAGAGTGGGAATAGAGAGTGTAAAAAAGATGACTGTAACATAGAATATTATCTTATAAAGTTTGCAAGCCTTTGTGTGCTTAATGCACATGATCTCATTTTATTAAATCCTTCTTCTATTCGTTTTTCGAGGCGTAGCATTATATGTGCCAATTTGTTTGATAACTTGTTGCGATCTTGTTGGTAGTGACATAATCCCGTTGCTGTAGAAATTTTGAGATTTTTGATGAAAACAATGCGACAAGTAAGTTGTACAGTCCCCTCTGGATGTTAACCTAACTATCCAAAGAATTCTAAAGAGACCGAAACAGGAGGTCAAAATCTGAAGAATCATTTTCTTGCAATATCCTGTGAGTTGCACTTTTGTGCACTCCAGTTCTTAATTTTATTGCACGCACTTGAAGTACTCGTCTTATTCGACAGCTTCTAGCACAACGTTTTTCTTAACCTGGTAGAGCCATGATGCAGCTATATTAGTAATATAGTTGTAGCACGAATGGGTGCGCGACCGGGGAGGGACCACGCTCTCACAGAATACCATCTGCTGTTTCTTATGGTGAGTGTAGAGAACCGGAGACCCATTTTACTGGAAACGAGGCATTCCGTCTTAGGGTTACAGCTCATTAGAGCCACCCGGCACCCGACCCTCACCGCCTCGTCGCCAACTGTCCACTCGTAGTCGACAGGTAGACCACGGGTGGACGCCGCGTTGTCACCAGTGAACCTCGCGTCGTCATGAGTGGACCTCGCGTGATCAATGAGTGACCCTTAAATCATACAATAAATTATATTTCCGAACTTCTTCTATAAGTTTTTCTTTGTTCATTTTAAAAAACAAACAACAATGCGTCCGACACATTCGAAAGGAAGACTCGAAATGAAGTGTTGGTGGAGAGCGCCGTATCGCACTCGCGTGAACCGCGCGTTGCCAGCTCACGCTCGCAGCGCGCGCCAGCCAGCGTGTCAAGAATGCCGTCGGCGAGCTATCATCGAGTGGTCCACTCGCAGTCCACGCGTGGACACCTCGCGAGCGAGGTGATGGCACGGAGTTGATGTAGTGAGCGCAGGCCCATACAAGTCCATACGAAGAATACGAACCGCTCGAGGCGAGGCGGTGAAGGTCGGGTGCCGGGTTGCTCTAATGAGCTGTGACCTTTAGTCCTCACGGGTGATAACGCTTCTGCATTTTGATTCGTAATCGAGGATAAATGTAGATTTCTATGTGTCACAGCAACCGCTTACAAATCAGGCTGACTGTGTGCTCGTTTGTCACCCTTACCCTAAAAAAAGTCCTCGTAAGGGAGGGAAGGTCTCCCTTGACCATGTGTTTGGTTTGGGAGTCGACCCTCTGAGAAAAGTAAACGGTGCACATTAAAAAAAAAGACGTGTGGCACTCGGGGACTGCCGCGGTAAAGCTATTGCATAGCATTTTGTATCAACTTATGCAATTATAATTATTTATTTATTTTATTTATGCAGTATTAGTAGTTAGGTTGTACCAGTTCTGGCGCACTTGTAGAAAGGTTGTACCAGTTCTGGCGCACTGGAGTCAGAAGTGGTACAAGTAAGACGATCGTCGACTCACGATCCAAAAAAAAAAAAAAAAAGTTTTGGCATGCTCTGATCACGAATCTGCGGTCCATTTTTGCGTAGGATGCACGGTTCCCGAGATGTGCAGATCAATTAACTCTTATCTAATTGATACCCGCTGCCAGCCTCAACCGTCATTAGCGCTCCATTGTCCTTATCTACTTATAAAAAGCGGCGTTGACACATACAGCAGCGTACACACCGTCTCCGCATATATTATTCGAATAAAATAGTAAAAGTGAATAAAAAGAAAAACTTTTGTGAAAAAAGTGTATATAGTGACCTGTGGATTATGTGACATTGTTTGTGACTCCATACAATTAGATATTATGGTGTATTTTGTAGTAAATAGTGTAAGACTAGATCTTCGTTGTATAAATAGTTATTAAAAAATTTTAAACGCAAAAACTTTCTTAATAAGGTCCTACGTGATAAAAAATTAACAGTGATTAACAGTGTTTAGTGGAAGAGAGATTATTTTTAAATTCAAGAATCGTAACGGAAACTTTCTTGTTTACTAAGCGGCTTATTTATGAAACGACACAATGAACTTTGGACCAGATCGCTCGTGAATCAAACATCAATCGTGAATATGACTACAAAATTTAATTGCATCTGCATTACCATCGTGGTGCATTGGTTACGAGAACCTACTTGGAACGCTCTGTACCAGAGTTCTAATCCAACACATTTATTTTTTATTTATTTATTTTTCATATAATTTTAATCAATATAAGAATACATATACATATATAAAAGAGTAAAATATATGACATAAATATGGCATCCTCGTCGAAAAAAATGCTTTATGTGCCAAATGTAATGTTATTATAGAAAATAATGAATATCTAATATGCACTTTATGTAAGAAAAAATATGATATTCAATGTACGAACGTGTCAGCAAAAAGGTTTTATCTAATGAACAAAAGTAGCAAAAGCTCATGGAAATGTAAATCATGCCTAAATAATAAGAATAAGCTAGTAGACGATTCACCGGTCTCTTTGAATTTGGTAAAATATGACAAAATAAAAATAAATGAACAAAATATAACAGTAAGAAAACAAAATTTTAGTAATAATCGATCAACGGACAACTGTACAGTAGTAGAAGATATTGATGACATTAACAGTTCTACCCCTAACGAAACTCTTCAGAGCCTACCCAACATGTCATTAATGGATAATTCAACCATAACTGAAATGAAATGCGAAATAGAATATTTAAAGATGCAACTAGAAAGTGCACACGCAGAAATTGCCGAACTTAACATTGAAACAACAAATCTAAAAAAAATTATCGAGGACAATAAAAAACAAATGGGTGTTTATGTCAAACTTTTGAATGTTAATACACCCAAGAAGGGCACTCCCAAAAAACGTTCCAATATTATTTTAAATAAAAAGAAGCCGGATTATGATGTTGTTACTGAATCGCCCACCACACCCGATTCCGAATTTAAGAATCAGAGTGCTACGAAATGCTTACAAGAGAAGTTGAAAAATAAGACTTTAAATGTTAAGGACATTAAGCAAGATACATCAAAAATCGGAAACAATGAACAAAAGATTTGTAACGAAGATATAAAAAAAATATCACCAATCACAGTACAACGCAACATAAGCAAAAAATTAACAAAAAGTGAAAAAAATAAAATATATATCCTTGGCGATGAACAGGCACGAGGACTATCGCTAGAAATTAGAGATTCACGGATAAACACGTGGAACGATAACTATGATGTGTTATCTATAATAAAGCCTAACGCGACGTCTTCAGACATTTTATCATATTGCAACATCTTAAAAAGTGAGTTGAGTAGCAACGACAGAGTTATACTTATAATGGGACAGAATGAAACAAACCCATTTAAACTGTCTAGTGAGGTAAGCGTAGCTTTAGAGAAATTAAAATTTGTGCGAGTATTCGTTTTAGAGACTTTAAAAAATAATTATCTAAAAGAAAAATCTCTGAATAATCATATGTACTGTGTTACTCGGTTATATCAAAATTGTAAATTTTTAAGACTTCATGGTAATATTAATAGAGCAAAAATAATAAACTTTCACATTGACTCTGAAGATTACGATAAAAAATTTATAGTTAGTAAACATAAACTTAATTCAAATAGTATAAATTACTTTAAAACAAATAAAGGCTTTAAAAAATCTTACACAAATCGGCCATACGAATTCAAAAAAAGGTACAATTCCATATTTATTTGAACAACAATTAAAAAAACAAGAAACACATATTCACATTGACCTTGCCACAGCTAGTAAAAAACAACCTTTAAAAGGTACGATACCCTATTATTTTAAGCCACAGAATAAAAGTGTACAGTCAACAAATAATTTTTTTCGTGAACAAATCTAAATTGAATATATTACATCAGAACATTGCAGGACTTTTCAGCAAAATTGATTCTTTGGAAATAGTATTGGATCAATTAAAGACATCAAAAATTGATGTAGACATAATATGTTTAAGTGAAACTTTTATTAAAAAAGGAA